CAGTATTATGGTCGTTGGTTTAAATCCCAGCCACGGCACCACCTGCCTAGAGTTTGCATGTTCTCCCTGTGCCTGTGTGGGTTTCCTCTGGGTACTCCAAAGACATGCTGGAAGGTTAATTAGACCCTGTCTAAATTGGCACTAGTATATGAATGTAAGTTAGGGTCCTTAGATCGTATGCCCCTTGAGGATTAGGGATTGATGTGAAAGTACAATATATATAATTATAATTTATATTAATATAATTAAGCGCTGCATAAACTGATGGCGCTATATAAAGTACCTATAATATTCCGCTAAAATAAAGCCAGCTACACTGTAACATCCGTTGCAATAATTCTTTATTCCTTACATGGCAGGATACAGCCAGGGCTGTGGATAAGGGGGTACCACCAGTCCTCCTGTACGGGGCCCAGGCCAGCAGGGGGGGCTCAGGCAGCTGGGTGAATCAGATGTGAGCAGCGGGGGTGGTTTCTTTTTCTCTCCCTCCCGCTGGCTTTTAGCTGCTGCAGAAAAAGCCATACAGGGGATCGGTTCTAATAATTGCCCCCTCGCGTTCACTAGCCCCTTCCTTTCCTGAATGAATACAATGAGTGATCCATAACAATCATTCACTGTGTTCATACATAACTGAAGTATAGTAAACTGTTTTTTTTTTTTTTGGAAAGGCCCTGTCAGGTTGGCTGTATTGGGCCCCGTGGTTTCTAACAGCAGCCCTGGATACATAAATAGCACACTAACGCGTTTTGGCCAAAACCTTACTCATAGCATGAAGCGCTGAATCTCAGCCTGGGAAAATGCAGTGAACTATTCCCTGCTTCTTAGCACCCTTCTTTGTATTGTTATAGGAGGGTAAGGTAGCCCATGCAGCACAGTGGCTGCAATCCCATGCAGAAACACTGAGAATCCTGCTTGATCTGACTACAATGCATCATGAAACCCTGAGATAAAGAAAACAATCAAAAAGCGGACCTTCTGAAATGAGTTCAGCAGCAGTGTTTCTAGATGTTGTCTAGAGGTGCTCTTTAATTCTCTGTTATTTTAAAAAAAGGGACTTATTATCTGATTATACATAACAGTTTCCAATTACTAGCAGTAACATATGGAGAAAATGTGAATGCATAAAGTGTGAGAAAACGTCTTATCTGATTTCTGTAATTCCAGACACAAGACTGAAAAAACCTGGATCTCCAAAACTCTCAGTGTATGACCTTTTAGATTACATGTGACCTTCCTGTGTTATGATTCAGAGCGGAAACATGCGCAATATCATCGGAGATGGCCGTGTCTGGCGGGCGGATGGATGAGCACAGGATACATATTGAAATGATACATTAACCCTCTTGGACTAGATGGTAAAGGTGTCATAATATTGTGATGTCATCACACAGTGATTGAGATAAACCATATGGTCCTAAAATAGTCATTGATATTGCAATCTAGCAGTTTTGTGGTCGCAGAATACATGAGTGAGTCAGGTGATCTGCTGAATCATTCACCATCCCATTAAATAAAAGATAATGTAAACAGTTCAGGTGGTACTACAGCAGTATTGAATCCAATAGCAGACAAGTAATATATTGCAGTTTCCATTTCTTAGATGTGATGATCTTTTTCTTCTCTTTTCATCTGTCAATAAGTCTGTTGTATTTCAAAAGAACAAGCTCTCCAGCAGAATGCATCAGTTAAAGAGATGGGACAAACCATTTAACACTAGCAGGTTGCCTACAATGATCAGCTATTATTTATTTATGTAAAAAACTCTTATCCCAAAAGGAAAAAAAATGTTTACTGTAAGTGCTTATAAAGCATTAGCCGGAGATTGGCTTCAATGTGTTAGTGTATTTAAATCTACTAGTCCATCTAACGATTCCCTCCCCCCAATGCTGCTGTCCAAAGGTGCTCCTGGGCTCCTTCATCCAGAGTGGGTGCACTCTCTAACCCCCGGTTCACATCTGTGCGGGTGGTGCCTGCGAATCTGCATGAAAATCCGTGCAGCCGCACCACCCACACAGAGAGTCGCGGACCAGTGGGCGGGTGCCATTAGTTCTAATGGCACGCCGCCCGCATTGGGAAACGCAACCGTACTGGGAACCGAGGTTCCCATGCGGGCTGCGTTTTCCAAAGTAGTACAGGGACTTCTTTCCCTGCGTGTCACGAGGCACGGGAGTCCATTCAAATGAATGGGCTCTCGTGCCCGTGCAAAACACGGCCGCATAGGTGTGAACCTAGGGTGATAGGTGGTGTGTTACTGGCCACATGACCAGGTGAAAACAAAAAGAAAAAAACCTAAAAAAAAAAAAAGCAAATGCAACCACCACATCTAATTATTATTATTATACAGGATTTATATAGCGCCAACGGTTTGCTCAGCGCTGTACATTACAATGGGAGACAGTACACGAGACAGTACAGTAGCAATACCATACAATACAATACACGAGGGGTTCGAGGGCACTGCTCCTTGGAGCTTACAATCTAGGAGGGAGGGGAGAGTGGTACAGGAGGAAATAGCTGTGGGGGATGGAGTGGTGGGAAGAGCGGAGGAGATCAGCAAATTAGGTGAGGGCGGGGTAGGCTTCTCTGAAGAGATGGGTTTTCAGGGTGTGCCTGAAGGTGAGGAGGGAAGGTGACAGTCTGATGGATTGGGGTAGTGAGTTCCAGAGGATGGGGGAAGCCCTGGAGAAGTCCTGGAGATGGGCATGGGAGGAGGCGACCAGGGAACTGGAGAGAAGGAGGTCTAATGATTGGTAAGCTGCAATATATTACATTTTTGGTTGTGGATTTAATACCACTTTAAAGAAAAAGCAATCTGAAACTTTGTTTTTCATTTTGAATCAAGCAGGAAAGGGTTAGAACCTTTTTCAGGTTATTTGTATTGCTTTCTGTGTCCCCAATATTAAATGTTCTCCTTGCTTCCTCTTCCTCTGTCCCAGGAAGTGAGGATAAATGTCTTCAACTGAAGAACAAACAGCAATACAAGCAACTCTGGGGAATGGTTAGAACTTCAGCCTGGGTTCACACTGATGCGGTGCGGAATTCACTCAAGTTTCTGTGCGCTTTCCACACCGCATCATAATTGAACCCCATTCATGCGAACCGCTGCTGGTGTGCATGTTACCAACACCCCGGAATCAGGGTGCGATGTGTGAACACCCATGGGATCCAATTCTGGTGCGGACAAAAAAAAATGATCCTGCACTATTTTGGTGCGGATGCGGTGTGATCTGAGCCATACAAAATGTATGGCTCAAATTGCACCGCACAAAAATCACATGTGATATGCACAGGAATGCAGTGAGGTTGTTGTGTGAATCACATCAGTGTGAACCCGGGCTCCAAGGTAATGACTGTGTTGTATTTGGGAGGATTTCTTGTTCCAGTGACATCCTGCATCATGGTGTCACTTGGACAGGAAACAAGGGAAAAATTGCTCAGACGTTGAGCTTTAAGATGTAAGATGTGGGAATGCATAATTTTATTACCATGTTGAAGTCAATATTTATATAGGCATTTTGTGGGGTTCAGGAAATCCCTGGCAAACTGTTTACAGGCTTTACAGTTTGTTTGTTTTTTTTACTTTTTATGGTGCTGTTATGTTTCTGCCAATAAATATAAAATGTCAGATACCTTCCCAAGGCGTACTTTCCTTAAAGGTAAAGATAATACATAATAAAGCCTGAATTTGCAAAGAAAAACCCAAAACATTTTAAAACATCAGCACAAGGGACAGTACTTACAATCGGTATGGTATTTCCCTTGTGCTGCTGGCTGCTGAAATCCCATTCCCTCAACCCCCCTCCCCCCCCTTTCCCCTGCAGCCATAAAATTCCAGGGCTACAGGGGTTAATTGACCTGTCATTTGCACCATCAGGAGTTACAGTTTTGCTTGCCCTTTTTATTCCCCTCCATCCATTCATAGAAGTTGTACTGTTATATAAATGAAAATGAATGAATGGAGAAGGCAGAGCTTCCATTCATCCACCTATTCTCCATTCCTAGATTGTGTTTCATTCATAGAAGCTATAGTATGTATTATAGTGGCAATTGAGGGGGGAGGTGAGAAGACAGAAGATTTAAGCTAAAACAGCTGCCATCAGCACTAGGGACACACCACGTTGATTTAAATAATGTCCCTTTTTCTGATTTTTTACAAACATTGTTTACTAAAGTTAGGCTTTAACAACTTACCCTATTGACGATTTACCCCCCTTCCTGACCAGCCCATTTTTTGCAATGCTGCACTGCATTTCTTTAACTGACAATTGCACGGTCATGCAACGTTACACCCAAATTAAATTTATGTAATTTTTTTCCAACGAATAGAGCTTTCTTTGGGTAGTATTTGATTGCTTGTGTATTGTTTATTTTTTGCACTACAAAAAAAAGCTTACAATTTTGAGAAAAAAAACCCCAATATTTTTGACTTTTTGCTATTAAACATATCCAGTAAAAAAATTTTAAAAATCAAATTTCATCATAAATTTAGGCCAAAATGCATTCTGCTACATGTCTTTGCTAAAAAAAATCCCAATACGTGTAAATTAATTGCTTTACTTGAAAGTTGTAGAGTTTAAAAATGGTGGTATATATACACTGGAAATGTTTTTTGTACTAGTTATTGGGGGCGATCAGCAACTTATAGCAGAACTGCAGTGGGCATTCTGACACTGGGGGGAACTGACTTGGTGTCACTGACATCCCCAGTGACACCAATACAGTGATCAGTGCTAATAAAAAGCACTGACACTGTACTAATGGCACTGGGCAGGAAGGGGTTAACATCTGGGGTGATCAAAAGGTTAACTGTGTGCTGTGTGCTGTTTTACTATGAGGCTGTGTGTGTGCTTTACTGTAGGCACACTGCTTTGTATGGCTCTGCTATGCAGTGTGCAGGAGCTGACAGGGAAGAGATCTGTGTTGTTTACATCAGGGCTTAAAATTTCAAGTCCTGAGCTACTAGCCAGGCCTTAAGAGTTACTCGCCACCAACAAACACACACAAACAGAGACACCTGTACACACACACACAGACATGTACATACACACACATACAGAAACACACGCGCACAGAGAAACATGTACACACACACATACAGACACATGTACATACACACAGACATATGTACATACATACACAGACACATGTACATACAGACACATGTACACACAGACACATGTATGTACATACACACAAACACACACATGCACACACACACAGACACATGTACACAAACATACATGTACATACACGCAGACACACACACACACAGCCCTATAAAAAGTTGCAGTACTTTGTTGTTCACTCACAGAGCCGGGTACTGCACTCTAGGGGGAGGCAGAGAGCACAGCACACACTCCTTCCTTTGCTTTCACTGCGCTCAGCTATTGAGCAGTCTGATGGCTCCAAGTGCCAATGACAGATCCGGCCTGAGCTCTGAGCCTGCTCAGCAAGACGGCCCTGGGGGACACACTCGCCCCCACCATAATTTCCACTCGCCATTAAGTGGAAATTTCAAGGCCTGGTTTACATACAGATCTCTCCCCAGTTGGAAATGCTCGGAGATCGCCAGGTGCCAGTGGGGAATCACTGACCGGGACATGGTGATTAACAGCCAAGGCTGCGAATGGTGGCTCAGATAGGGCAACCTCTTGGTTGCTTCTGTAGCACTACCCCCTTAGGAGTCGTATGTATTTTCATTGACCTTACATAGATTTTCTCTCATGTCCTGTTGTGCCTTGGAAGCAAAGGAAAATCTCTCCAACAGGTAATAGTCAGTAAAACAAAAACCTGACTGGGGTTCTAAAGATTCCCAACACTAAAAAAAATAAAAATAAAATACTGATTAACATACCCTTTAAATTATTTTGGCTACAAGGCTTGTGGAGCCTGCCTGTATTACTTACAGGTGTCAATACCCATACACTCTATATACAGCTGTGACTAGAGGAAGCCATTTTGTACACTAATCGAGAGCTCCAAGATGCAGTTCATCAGTTCACAGTGAACTTGGATTGGTCTAAGGAATTTTAAAAAAAATAAAGAAAATATAATTCCTACCCAGCTGCAATTGAAGATCTGTAAGTGGTACAATTACACTAATGTTTTATCTTGACAAGATACGATTATCCTCCTGAACTTCTTTGAAGTTTATTATATACATTTATTTTTGTTTTAGACTGTCTAATCAAAGAAAATGTATTAAATCTTCCTTGCCTTTCTTAAGGCGGAAATATGGGCTGCCAAATACAAACTTGTTTTTTTTTTAACTCAAGCCTTATTATAACTCATTTTAGATCTACCACTTCAATACGTTTTTTCCTATACTGAAAGTCTTTGTGACAAGCTGTAGCAGGGGCTAATCCGCATCAGACATTTGTGAACATAGGCAAGGAACCAGAATTTACATAATTGTGTCATCTCGGAACTAGCAAATCAGTTCAGGAAGTGGTTGAAGATCCTGGATGATGCCTGAACAAACATAGCATAGAAGTTATTGTCAGGAGTACTGTGATTGCTGCCATAGGTAATAAATACCTGAAAGTGATATACTCTAGTCTCTGGCCTAAATTTAGTATTGGCAATTCGGCTGTAGCCAATCCGAGGACCGTTTGGTTATAGCTGTGTTGCCAACCGTCAGTAAATGTACGGACAGTCTGTCAATATCGGCCAATTTACAAATTGTCCATAAATGTCCATTACAGACAGTGGCTGGTAATAAAAAATATGGCAATGGAACAGCACATGTTTGGCTCTGGCGGAAGATAGGAAGGTGCTGTGACTTCATGGCGTTGCCTGGCGCCTTTTATGAATTACAGCAGGACTAAAGGGAAAGCCGACCCGGGATCTGGGAGGGGATCACCACTGGTTGGCTGCCACCCAGGACTGTCACCAGGTAAGCGCTTGTCATTAACGTAATAAGACCGCCACTGGACTCCTACGTGTCCATTTATTCCTTCTCTGTGCTGCTGTGTCGGTGCTGATGGTGGTTTTGCTCCTAGTGTCCACATTGGGAACCTGAGTCCATGTCTACAAGGACAGGCAGTGGGGACATGTAAACTGCAAGATACAGCTGTAATGAGAGGCTGTGATGATAGCTGTGGCTAGAGTTCTCCTTTACATCAGGGTCCGCAGAGCTTCCCCTTAAACTGTAAGGGGGAATCCTGCAGACTATGATGTAAGTAAGGGGGAACTCTCAACACTGGTGACCAGAGCCCCTCTTACATCAGAGTTCCCCTTTACATCAGGCTCCACAGTATTTCCCTTTACATCAGGGGCCACAGTGCTCCTCTTTAAATCAGGGTCCGCAGAGTTCCCCCTTACACTGTAAGGGGGAACCCTGCAGACTCTGATAAAAGGGGAGCTCTGTGCACTCTGATGTAAGGGAGAACTTTATGGACTGTAATGTAAAGGGGAACACTGTGGAGTCTGATGTAAGGGAGAAGTTTATGGACTGTGATGTAAAAAGGAACTCTGTGGAATCTGATGTAAGGGGGAACTCTGTGGACTGTGATGTAAGAGGGAGCTCTGTGGACTCAAGGGGGGTGGGGGCTCTGGTAATCAAGGACCCCCTTACATCAGAGTTTCCCTTTACAGGGGAAAGGGAACCCTGCAGACTTTCATGTAAGGGGGAACTCTGTGCTGGCTTACCTTCGTGTAAAAGGAGAAATATGATTTTTTTTTTTTTTTTTTATACCTTTAGCACATTGCTAATTGCACTAAATAAAAGGTGGAATTTGGTTGCTATAATTAAAGCAGACATGCACTGTGAAGTTTGTTGCTCAGTTCTACACATTTGTATCTTAAATATTGGTCATTGTGGCTAACTTTTTGAACTGTCAGTAGAAATCTGGCTCTGACATTTTTTACTTCTGCCTGCTACTGTTTATTTCACCCTGTCCAATCACTGATGGGTTTATGCAAGTGATGTGGGCTGGGGAAGGGATTAAATATTTAAGGAGACCTTCTAGAAAGGTCCTTTACCTGTAGTGGTGAAAAGTCCTTAGCTTCTCCAAGGCTTAACCTGGAGAAGATTTGTGTGAAGCAAAGTTTAGTCCTTGCTTTACAAGTATGCTGCCTGAGGAGAGGGTGGGGGAATATAGCTGATGAGAGGTCTATTGCCTCTCAGGTCCTTACCTGGGGGGAGGAAGCTTGGTCTATTGCCTGTCTGGGCTTAAAGGCCACAACAATAAATTGCCCATCTGGGCTTAGAGGTCCATAATTGGCTTGAGAAAGAGCTGAACATACTTAGGCAGCTGGCCCATCTGGCCTACTGAATCTGCATAAACTTGTCAAAAAGGTTAAAGCTACTACAAGATAGTGGAATGAGATTTTGCTTTTGGGTACCCTGTACCTTCATCCTTCTCACCCCTGGCAACTGAATCTATAAATTAACAAAAACAAGATTGACAGAGTGGAAATACACTATATTGCTAAAAGTATTGGGCCAGCCCTCTAAATTATTATTATTATTATTATTATACAGGATTTATATAGCGCCAATAGTTTGCTCAGCGCTTTACAATATAAAGAGAGACAACACAGCAATGATACAGTTCAATACAAGAGGGATAGGAGGGCCCTGCTCCTTGGAGCTTACAATCTAGGATCATTGGATTCCGGTGTTCCAATCACCTCCATGGTCACAGGTATATAAAATCAAGCACCTAGGCATGCAGACTGCTTCTACAAACATTTGTGAAAGAATGGGTCGCTCTCAGGAGCTCAGTGAATTCAAGCGTGGTACCGTGATAGGTTGCCACCTGTGTGTAATAAGTCCATCCGTGACATTTCCTTGCTACTAAATATTCCACGGTCAACTGTTAGTGGTATTATAACAAAGTGGAAGCGACTGGGAACAACAGCAACTCAGCCACCAAGTGGTAGGCCACGTAAAATGACAGAGCGGGGTCAGCGCATGCTGAAGTGCACAGTACGCAGAAGTCACCAACTGTCTGCAGAGTCAATAGCTAAAAGACCTCCAAACTTCCTGTGGCCTTCAGATTAGCACAACAACAGTGCATAGAGAGCTTCATGGAATGGGTTTCCATGGCTGAGCAGCTGCATCCAAGCCTTACATCACCAAGTGCAATGCAAAGCGTGGGATGCAATGGTGTAAAGCATGGGGAAATGTCACTCACTCTGCTTTGCCCAGAAGCAGCAGGCATTTTGTCAGATGAGGCAATGGAAGGAGCAGCATGGGTGCACTGGCAGGGTGAATGAAAGTGGGTTGGGGTGCCCGTTTACTAACGGCTATCATTTTACCCTGAAATGCCAAGGTGACCGTGTCTCTTTAAGATAAAGTCAAGTTGTCAGCTCAAGGTGGCAGTGAAATCCTTTATCTCTTGCATTTCTTTGCTGAGCTGTGAACATGCTGTTTAAGTTATGTATCCCATCTGTTCCACAGGGTAATTACGAATGCGAAAAGAATGTAATTCCTAATTGCATCATAACACAGAGAAGGACAGGAGGATTGCTGCAGGCTCTGCAAAGCTCAATCAGGACATGAGAGGCGCTCAATCATTTGTTTTATCAGTGAAGATGTTCCATACCTGTTCATCTATCTGCCTACTTTCATTTCACTAACTACTGTTCTAAGAGAACTCCCCAAATTCTGTTAATTAATGGCAGGCTAAACTCTAGTAAAGATATTAAACAAGCATAAAATCTTTTCTAAACCCAGGATCTGCACAGCACTACCTAATGCACAAACTGAATAAGTGACCATTTGTTTTGCCAGTTTAAAGGAAGCCCAAGCAAATTCAAACTGAGCTTATAATGGAAAAGTACATAAGGAGAGGTTACTGTCAGTAAAACCTGCATGCCGAAAAGATCAGTAGATCCAGACAGGCTGACAACTGAAATTATCTCGACTTTTCTTGTTAAAGTCAAGCTTAGCTCCTCCTCTTCTTTTTTCAGAGCTTCCCTATTGGTCAGCAGGGCTGATTAACATGGAACAACAAGGAAATACATAAGGAAGGGTTGGGGCTGAGTTTAATTTTTACAGGGAAAAGTAAAAGTTGATAATATTTAGTTTACGAAAGGCCTGTGTATCATAGACAACTGACATTCAAAAGAGAAGTATGAGTTTTTTTTTCCCCCCAAATTATACTTATCCAGGTGGATGCAGTATTGGTCTGATGCCGCATCTTTCGCCCATTGGCTCTAAGTGTGAGAACTCAGTGATCACATGACCACTAAGTTCTCACTGCCCCTGTGAGCAGAGAGTGGTGACTGTCAGTCACCGCTCTCTGCTCTGCCCCCCATGCTCACTGGAGTACTGGGCTGTGGAGGGGGAGGGAGCAGCTCCAGACTCTGGGGTCGATCTCGACTTGGCTCAGATTTGGATCTTTCCCCAACTTGGACCAGCTGAGTGACATTAGCCAACAGTGGGCTTCAGCCCGCAGTCAACTGAATATGGGTCACAGGAGTGCAGAAGGAACTGCACTCCTGTGATCCACAGAAGTGCAGCCAAAAGGCTTAACATCGCCTTTAAACAAATGTTTGTTGCTTTCAGTGCTACTGATGT